ATTGTGTAAAATAATGTAGAACTAAATTTCTATGTATAAAATAATATTTTTGTACTATAAGTCAATATGAAAATATCGTACATAAAACACAGTTATCCAAAAATAAAAAAACTAATACAACATGATATGTAACTAGGAAATTATATATTCTGTTCTATATAAAATAAATTATTATTAATATTATTCTCCTTAAAATTTACAAAAGTAATATAGAATATATAAAAAATCATAAATGTCCAAAGAACTTGTTGGTATATGTACCATTAGAATAATAATGTAATAAAAAAATATATATATAATTTAGTGTAATCTTAATATATAAAATAGATATCATAACTCCAATACTAAGTTTTAAAATAAGAAATCTTAAAGATATAAAACAAATCATGAAAATAAATATGAAAACATAATGGTATATGTATAAACCTAAATACTAAACCATAAAACTCTATATCTTATTACATGGATAAAAACAGGAACTCTAAGCACTTTTACCTAGAGTTATGTATTGGTAAATATGTGAGTAATGTATCATACAAATGTCTAAAATAACACTGAATTATATATATAAGTGCATCATATTTTTTTTGAAGTTATTGATGTATTTGGAATACTATGTTATATTTAATTTATTACTATGACATTTTTAATAATTCTATCAACAAAAAAAATGCAGTCCGAATTATAAAAAATGTTTTTGTATAAAAAGAATTTATAAGAAATTCTAAAAATTCATAATAATACTCCATACACTTAAGGATAAGTTGCTTTTAAATTTTTTAATAAATATTAAAAGTATCACGCACATATATAATATGAGTTAACACACAACTATATATATATGAAGTTCAATAAATGCTTATATTAAGGGATATTTAGTTTTTTATTTTCTAAACTCTATTAAGCAATTCCCCCATATATATTGAGAGTTTTCATACTTTTACAACTACAATTTAGAATATATATATATTTAGAGTATATGCTTGTTTCATACAATTATATTTAATTATTTATATTAGTATATATTTTAATAAAACTTGTATAATAAAATTTATTATTTATAATTATGCATTCTGCTTACCCTTTTTAATCCTCAGCATAATAATAAAAATATATAGGAAAACCGATGGTGAAATTTAGTAGGAATAAATATATATTAATTTTTAAAGAAAAATATAATATAAATAAACGAATATATGAACTATTTACATGGACTATTGTTATAAATGGAATCTCAATATGGGGATCATCTAATTTTATGATAAATTATATACATATATTTATAGGTTAGTCAAAGTATCTTTTTATAAAATTTTTACAGTATAAAAAAATGGCACTATTATATTCATATTTTAAAATATATTTTATTTATTCTATATTAATATATATATAAATAAATATATTATAATATGCTATTTACATTCAATTTAAGGATTATTCATATGGAAATTCAATAATATGTAACAAATATACGTGTATAATATGTTATATATTGGGCTATATGTAGTTAAAAAAAGCATATATACTATAGATGTATTAATTTATAACATATAACTAATTTTATACAATAATACATTAATATTGAATCTTTTTAATTACTATTATACTAATATACTATTCACATCATTATATAATATGTAAAAAAGGAATAATAGTCTAATATTTATTATTATTAGAGAAGGCGCATTTATTTAATAATATCTAAATTAAGAATTAAATTTTATTTAACTTATATAATAAATGGTATAGCAATAGCATGATAATATAGTAAAAAATATGATAACAATTATTATGTATAAATACAATAAAATATATTATTTCTTGATATTTGAACTTTATATTTTTATTATTATGTATATTTATTACATATTTAACCATTCAAAATAAATAAATTATTTTATTAAACATATTATTCACATAAAAATTAAGTAAAAATTTCGTCAAATTAATATGGTATTTTGTGCGAAGTATTTTTTTAGGAGTTTATATAATATAAGACATTTCGATTTTTTAATAAATAATTAAAGAAATATAATAAAAATATCATTATGAAATTAATATTTTGTTAATTATATGCAAAAATATTTACAAAAGAATTATTATATATATTATATTATTTTTTGCTTTTATAGAAGAATAACTATCGTTTAATTTACTATATTTCATGAAAATAACATTTTGTTTGGCATATCGGCATGCTTAATTTAAGTTTAATAAAATGAAGAAAAAATTAAAATAAAAAATATAACTATATATTATGAAATAATATAACTAAAAATAATAACATATAAAAGAAAACTAAATAAATACACCAAATAAAAATTCTGCGAGTGCTTCTTTATATGTAAATTATTTTAATAAACCATTGTATTATATAATGTACAAAAAAAATCAATCCATTATAAAATTTATATGCGCATGAATATATAATATAAAATACTATATTTTAATTATTTTTTTTATTTATAGATAATATAATATTTATATGAATATAATAAAAAATAAAAAGAGCACATTTATAAGTATATATATTAATACTCAAGATATATAATTATTTACAATGCACCATATATTCATATTTGTATATATATAAATTATAAAGAGTTATGAAATAGTATGTACTTTATTTTAATATATTTGAAATAAATTAAGTTATATTATATATTTTCGCGCCTATTCTCTTTTATAAAAATGTACTAAATATATTATTACCCTGCTTATACTAGATATAATGAAAATATGTATAAAATAAATAAGAAAATAAAATATTTGCGAAGCATGACTTATTAATCGTGCTTATTGAACTAATGTATTTCCTAGATATAATAATGCACATATTTTTACAAACTAATTAATGACATAGAATAAATAATTTATAATAAAATTATTTACCATATTACATATAGAATTTATTTTAATATAAGCATTGCCAATATTATAAAACTTGTGTTATATATACTGTTATTACAAATATAGTGTTCTTTTAGTTTTGATTATATATTTCGAACTATATGAATTTATTTTTGATATTATTATATGTTTTCTAAATAACATCATAATGCCTGGAATGAATAATACCAACAGGGTTTTAAATGAATAATGAATTTAATAAATATGTGAATTTAATGTAAAATGTTTTAAATTAAATAACATCAAATGTGTTTTTATATGTTATGTGAATATAATATTTACATGATATTTTTAACAAATAAAAATTTATTATAGAGCGTGTAGAACTTGTTTTTTTTCTTTAGAAGATACAAAAATTATGGAGAATGACACTGAATTAGAGGATAATGACGTATGATTTAAATGTTTAATAAAACTAGGCTTTATTAACGTAGTTTTAAATTAAATTATTTATTAAAATTTAAAGCCATTTTTTTTTCTTAGGATTTTTATAATTTTTGAGTATATTATGCCTTTTATTTTTAGTTCGATATTAATGGTATATTTCCCACATGCACAGATGTTTTCGATTGGAATATACACGCAATAAGACGTCAAGATATGGCTAATAATTTTACACAGCTATGTAGTAATTTTTATAATAATGAAATGCCAGGCAAGCATTCTACAGCTTTTTCTCAAGTATGTCGTGTTCTTGGTCTATATTTAAATCATATTCAAGTAAATGTTGAAGTTAGTAAAAAAAAAGATTGGTGTAAATTATTCTATTATAAACTGAAAAAAGACATAATAGAAAAATATCCATTAGAAAAATATCCTGGCGCTAAAGAATACTATCAGAAAATGACAGAAATATATAATAGAAAATTTGAAACAAGGATATCTAATATATGTTTGAAATATTTTGTCAATATTGATAAAGACACATATAAAACATTGGAATATTTGTTTGAAATATATAACTGTATTAATGTGTTTAAAAGTAATATTAAAAGGACCACTGAAAATATGCGTAAATTTAAAGGGTTCATAGAAAAATTAGAAGGACATCCATATAAGTATAAAAAACAACTTAAGGGAGAACTCGAAAAAATTCTTAACATATGTGATGCCTATATAAGAGAATGGGCTGCTGATAAAGACTTTGCAAAGCATGCATCAGATCTCCTAACTCGTAAAAATTGGATAGAAAAAAGAAAAAGTAAACTCGAGGAATTAGATAAGGAAACTTTGATACGTCATGGGACTGATGATGCAAAAAATTTAGAAATAGAGCAGCCAAAAGTAATGGATACTCCAGATTTAATGAGGCATGTGACAGATGATGTAACAAACAATGGAATAAGTATTGGAACGGTTTTTATAACTTTTTCAATATTAATAATAATGTTTATTTTGTACAAGGTTAAAAACAATTTAAATCAAGCAAATTTATGTTGTATTATAATTTATCTTAAAAATATTATTAAAAAATATATATAATATAAATAAACAATAAATAAAAAATTTATATAATTTTTTCTTTAGTATACCACTTATTTTTCATTTTTACAACCAAATGTAAGGAAATTAAAAAGAAAGTTGAATAAAAATAACAAAAATAATCTGGACATTATGTATCCATTTGATGTTGAACAGAAAAATTTAATTGATGATAGGTACAAAATAGCATATAGCTAAGTTGACTATATCAAATAAGTGAGAAATTCTAGTCACTGGTATAATTTTATTTTGCATAAATAAACACAATATAGCATTTGGATTCTTGTAGAATATAAATTTTATTATATTAATATGATAAAATAATGCATAAATAATAAAGAATTTTTATGTTACCTAGTAAAATGAAACAATATATGAAAATTCAATTTTTAATTATTACTACAAATGGAAAAATAAGCAATATACTATATAAAAATAAAATAATTTAAAAATATATATCTTATTGCCTTATTTATTGTAATCAAAGCACATTATAATAATATACTTGGAGATACAAGAATTGCATGATGAATCAGTACTAATTCTTTAACAAGAAAACATTAGTTGTTAAAGAAAAAGTATACTATAATATTGGATAATCATTTATCTGCTTTAAATATATATATAACAAATTAGTTGCCTAATATATAATTTAATATATTAGCAGTGTTATACTTTCTTTTTGGAGAAATCATATGTATGCTCCTTATGCAAGCATTATATTGTCATTTGTTACCTTTGTACAGTCAATATAATGTAATCAAAAGAAGAAGGAAAAAAGGAAAAAAGTTAAACATATAAATAACACTCTAATAACTCGCAATATATATATATATATATATATCCACAATGGATATAAATGTAAATAAATTAAGATAGATCTAGTAAATATGTATAAGTAAATTTATTATATCTTAACAAGTATACGTATATTATTAATGTTATAAAATATATATATATTAATAAAAATAAAAGATAAAAATGGAGTCATAATTGTAAAATATTATAATTGCAAAAAAAATAATACAATAAATTTAAATTAACTACGTATATATTTATTCTATTGGTGATCATTATTCCATGCTTTTTGAATTTAGAATAATTCCCCAACGACCTATAACAAAACTTTTAAAATAGATCTTTACATTAATGTTGAATATTAATTTATATCTCTTCAAAAATGCATTTATATATATATTATTAATATATTTGTAGATTTTTTTCCTTTTTTTAAAAACTTCTTATAAAACTATAAATAATATATATATTGTATATAAAATATGTTATCATTGAACACTAAGAACACACATGTTATCTTTATTTGATTCACTAATAATATCCTTTAAAATTATTAAATTTTGTTATTATTATCGCAGAAATTTTTTCTTATAATATTGTTGTAATACATTAAATACTATTAAATATTTTATTAGAAATATATATTTTTTAAAATTTATGATAATTATAGATAACACAATATTTGCACTCAAAAGGTATATGTATTATAATATGTGTGAAATTAAAAACAATATATTTATGTCTTAATTTCATAGTAATATATTATTATTCATATATAATTATGTTCTAATAAGAATTAATGAATAAAGTGTAAACAGGAAATTATAATAAAAATTTTATTATATATAAATACTATAAAGAATTAACTTATGTAATTTTGAAAATATAAAAAAAAGGAATATAAAACATGTAAAAAAATTTTTCATTTATACAATAATTAGACATAAGGAATCATTATTTTTACGTATGTTTTATTTAAATCACGTTAACTTTTACTGAAGTATTAATAAGTAAAATATATAATTTTGAATAAGCTCCCACATCATCCTCTAATCGTAATTATTATTCAATTAAAAAAAGAATGATACAGTTAACATTAATATGCTAATTGTGCGTTGAAATTATTTTTAATATATTTATATAAATGAAATTATTATATTTTAATGCAAATATATGAAAATGTACAAGCAAAAAACAATATAAATTATACATTATAATAAAACAGAAATATGTAATATATTCTGTACATATAGGCATGGGTAACGCTTAATGTAAAAATATAACCAAAAAAATTGTATAAAAGAAACATATGTACTAAAATAAGTTAAATTAATGAAAGAAAAAAGAATTATCACACAAATAATAAGTAATAATTTATGTCTGTTTATATAGATATAAAAGAGATATGTAATTTAATTTCGTGTCTTAATATTGCAAACACATGCTCTCATAATATGCTTGTGTCAAGAAGTAAACGAATACCAAAAAAAAAAGAAATAATAGTAAAAATAATGTATCATGTGTCTTTAATATATGGAGGTACAGTAAAAATTATTATTATTTCATAAAATATAATGGTGCATATGTGAAAAAATTATAATTTAAATAAAACAATCATAAAAACTTGTTACATTACAATAATTGTTACTTTCATAGAATATGTATCACATGATTAATATATATAAAACATATGTTTTGATGTCTTAAGTATACATTGTCCATCATAAATACACTATATTGAACATGAATATGGCGCAATTTAATTACTGTATTTTTAATTATTATTTGTCGTTTAGATAAATTTTATAATGTATCTTATTAATTTGTCTAAGTAAGATTCTTTTGTATTATATTGTAAAATTTTTTTCAATTTAATGAGATATTATTAATAAAAATGTCCACCATATTAATTTATCACAACACAATATGTGCTTTTTAAGCAAAATATATACTTCAAACTACAAAATTATTCGTGAAATTAATCAGAACTATATAATACATTATAAGTTCTATTCCTTGAATTACAACTTGTCATTTGAGGTTCTTGCAATATATTCCATTCATTATATAAATTATTCCTGAGATATGTTTTTCTTATTATCCTATTATGTAAACATGATCCACAAATGGTGAACTAATATATATTATAAAATATTTATACATTAAAAAAGAAATTGTTTATGATAAAACATATATTTTATTATAATTATTCATATTAATTGATATATAGAATAAGAATATCTATATTATATTATAAATAACCTTATATACATAATAAATATAAAAAGGGTTATCAATAATGCTGCAACAACTTGTGTAATGATATGAACATTTATGTTATATGTCTGGAATAATGGAAAAAATTTCGGTATACCATTACAAGTAGTTCCATTTCCCATGTGTTTATTATATTCTTCTATATAATTTTTTAATGCACTACAAAAATTTTTGTCTTTGATATACAACCATCCTCGTATTTTTTATATATATCACAGCATTTCTTCGCACATTCGGAATTACTACTACTGCAAGGTCCTTTACTATTTTTTATATTGTCAAGTTCAGTGTTCATATCATATATATCTTTGAGTTTTTCTAATACTTCTTTAGTTATGTTACTTTTATAATAATCGCATATAGGCTGCTGGTACTCTGCATACGCCTTTAGATATACTTCATATCGTTTTTTTACATTCTCAAAATCACCTTCATTTTTATAATAATTTTCATATAACCAATAATATAAAAATATACAAACATTATCATAAATATGTTCACCATTTTCTTTTTGATCATATATACATTGATAAATATATGGACAAGTTATAGAAAAATCAGTTGTTCCTTGACGATCCACTTCTGCTACTCTTTTACAGTAAGCATCGGATTCTTGGTCTTTATATTTCTCTTTACATTCTTCATATAATTTTTTCTTTTCATCAAATAAAGGAACATGTATATACTATAAGCAAATAAAAGAAATAAGGAATAATAGTATATTTATTGAATCATCGTTAAATGATATATATAATTATGCAAAAAATAAAATTTTAATCCAAAAATAATTATAATATATTATTTTCATTAAGTAATATTATATCACTTTCTGTGGTAGAAGGCATATTTATGGAGTCATATTAAATAATATCATTCACTAACATTGAAAATAAATATAAAATATATAAATAATATGAGGTTTCATAAGACATTACGAATATTTATTATAATAAAAATCTAATTACAATAAATATTTCTATCATTTCTTATGTTCATAGCATATATATGGGGAAAATATTTAGTAAAGCTTTGAAAAATAGAATTAAGAAGTATGCCTATAAAAACATAAGAGAAATATTTATATATATTTCCTTAATAATATTATACATATAAATACTATTTTACAATGTTAATATATATACTTTGTTTTAAAATTATATGTTCCTCATTTTTTAATTTTCATAATCATATTAATTATGTATATTTCCTTTAATCTCACTTAAAATATGACATATGTATAAATATTTTTTATTACGAAAGTTATTAAATTTTTTATACATATACTAATTTCATTTTACAGTGAATTATAGATACTTCTTCATCATATCTTTTGATAAAATGCTATTTTTATACCCTATACATTTTATCTGAGCAATGATTTTAGGGATTTATTGAACATATATGATATATGTGTTTTATATTATGTTACGATAAATCTTATTTTTAAATAAATGTAATTTTTGTTTAATAAATATTATTTTTAAGTGATTTCATTAATTTTATAAAAATATGAATACAATTATGTTTTCTATATATAGACACTTTTTTCAAACATAAAGTATAAATTTTCTTTATAGTAACTCTTAGTTGTTATTATATGCGATTAAGTAGAAAATATATAAAATGATCATAAAGTCACTTAATATTAATTAAATATATTAAATATTATATCTCATGTATGAGTACATATGTACAAAAGACATATAAAGTATGTCATAATAAGAAAAATAAAATGATATATCATGTATCATGTATTAAATGAACATTCAAAAATATAATGTTATAATATATTGAAATTTACTTGCTTTAGATTTATTTCATTTATAAATTATTTATTGAAAATATTATATTAACTCGATTAAGATGGGAAAATAATACATAAAAAATATATTTATATTCTTAATAATGATTGAACACATAATAATATATTATTATATTAAGTGTATAAATAATGCGGAATTGTTATTTAATATTCATAAATTGCTGTATTTATTGAAATAATTTCTTTTATTTAAAAATTGTTAATATTATACTTAGTAAATAAATGCTATTAATAAATATATATTCCTTACCTTCCCCTTTCTACTGGTATAAATTAAATATATCAGGACAAAGCATAAAAAAGAAAATTTAAATCATCTTATATTTATATTATTCAAAAGTGAATATTATTAAGAAAATAAATAAATCTTTATAAGTTTCATTTAAATTATAATATTTGTTGTAATTTACTAAATATGATTAGTTTTTTTTATATATATATCTTAGAGAACAATACAAAATCATATTTTAAATATATATAGGATCCAGGGTTTATGTTTAAAGGTTTAGAAGCGTTAAATTTTGTTATAAATTATTTTATATATTAACAAAATTGATTATGCCAATGAAATCACTATTAATTTTGAAGAGTGATAAATTTTATTTAAAAAAATACTGATCATTATTATGTACCTATGGAGATGGAATGCGTGAAAATTTCAGGAACTGTGAAATTAGTATGCGTTACCACACTGTAAATGGAACATTGTCAAATGAGTGGAAAAAATATAAATGCTATAGTTTAGACTATATCGAGTTTAGTGCATGTGAGAATTTATAATAAAGCTAATGAATGGAAATAAGAAATATTTTAGTATGAAACATATGATTGTTGAAATAATGTATCCCTAATAGTTATTTCATTTTATATATATAAGTTAATCTCTAATACTTATTAATGTATAACTAATGTAGATATATTAAGAATGATTATGAATAATAACTATACAAT